TCCATGTGGGCTTTGTTGCTTCTGAGCTTGATGGCCGCTTGATTACCTTCAAGCCTTTAAGACCCCAGACGCTATACTTTTTGATAGCCGGGCACGAGATTACTTTTTTTAAAAACTCTTTTTTAAAAGTTTTATTGGCTCGTCACATATCATACAATTCAATAATTTAATCATATCATGAAGAGTTGTCAAATTATCTCCACAATTAACTCTAGAACATTTTCTTCTTGTACTTACTGTGATTCATGTACGTTTTTTAATTGTGGCAAAAAATGTTCACAACAAAACATTCTCCAATTCAACAACGTCTACATGTATAATTCAGTGTCATTGTGTGTTGTGTAACTATTGCATGTATTGGTATCCTTTTCCAAATTATTCCCCACCATTAATATAAACACACTGCCCTTTAAGCAACAACTCTTCCTCCTCCACCCATGGTAACCACTAGTCTTCAATGTTAGTTTTATAGGTGCAGGTACTTGGTCTACTACACAAAGCTATCTAGTGTTAAACATTCAGTAGTGGACTTTTTTTTCCTTCAATTTTTCTCAATTATACTAAAACACATATTCTATACATTTAACATCTGACCTAGTTTTTTGAAATTATTTGCTTTTTAGTTTTAAGTTGTTTTTATTATTACATCAGTGGACCATCAGTACAATGTTAGAAATAAGTGTGTTTATAATTAGAGATTGTATTGTGTTTTTTTTAAATCTCTCCTTTCCGTCTGTCCTACAGAGGAAGTATCATTCTGCAAAGGAAGCATATGAGCAACTTTTGCAAAAAGAAAATCTTTCTGCGCAAGTGAAAGCGGCTGTTTTACAACAGTTAGGTAAGTAACATATACATTTACTTTATTATAAGTGCTTCTCTTTATGTTCTTTACATGCCAGGAGCTGCAAATATGTGGCAAATATATATTCTACTTCTACTTTTTCACCTGTTTGCCCAGAGTTGATAGAAGTAATTTGAACACAATATATTTCCCCACTCACATGAATCATCTCACAGGCTACCTCAATACAATTCTTGAGTTGCCTTCAAGGTGATTACACCTTAAGGCAACCACGTGTGTATCAGAGGAGACCTGTCCTCCGTAGGTTTTTAAGGGTTGATTTGGCAGAAGTAGATTTCCAGGCCTTTTCTTTTGATGCTCCTCTGTGTGAACTTGAACCTATAATAAGGTGACCAGATTTTAACATTGGTAAAGCGGGACACCATTGGTAAAATTCATGTCTTGGCGAAATAGCCACACGGCAGCCGAAAACCATATATCCTAGCTTTTCGTGCATTCTTTCCAGAAATTGGGACTTTTAAAAAATGCTGCGGGACACAGGAAAATTTGTTAAAAATTGGGACGTCTGGTCAACTTAACCTATAACATTTTGTTTAGTAACTGAACATCCATATGGAATTAATTACTCAGGAACTACCTCACTGTCACTAGTTCTTTCCAACTCTCAAAAATATTTACTAGTACTTAGTCCATGGGCAAAGGGGATTGAATAATTCCTTTGTGCGTTGTATATATTCTGAGTACTCTGTGAAGTTAATTGCTTAGATGAAAGTCACTTCATAGTTACTGACCTTGCTTAAATAGCTTTACTGATATTAATGAATATTAGTAACATTTTAAACCCCTCCCCCCACCAAATTAGAATTTTTTTAGGGGTTCGTTTTTTTTCTTTTTTTTTGGTTGGTTAAGTTCCGGCCTTTTTGGGTTATTGTGTTATTTGTTACACAGAAGATAGTGAAGGCACTCCCCAGTATTTTATTTAATGAGTCATGTTTCTTGTTTCAATTTGTTGTTTGCTTTTTTTTTTTTTCCCTTTCAGTTTTTGCTTACTTTGAAATGTGGCCAAAAAATTTATCTTACATAATAATAGGAATGCTTTTATACTGTGATTTTTAAAAATACCTGATTCCAACTTAGATCTTGTCATTTCCCTTCATGATATGAATGTCATAAGGTTAGTATCAAATTAAACATACCGGATATACTCTAGTATAAGCCGACCCGAATATCAGCGGAGGCCTAATTTTACACAAAAACTGCGTTTAAAATGTGCTGGCAAACTTGGCTTATACCCGAGTCTATACGATACATTCATGTAAAGCTGTTTTTTTTTTAATTTACTCTTGTTAGAATTTTACTTGAAGTATCCATATTTGTTAAAACTATGGAAGTGTTTAAGTATTTGTTCTAAATGAAGAACTATAGTCTTTGAGGAGTATGAATTTGTAGCTTTTAATTAAAGCAACATTTTTAGTACAGGTAAGAAGGGATTTGTGTTGATTTCTTGTGTATAGGATGGTTCCTTTAGAATGGGGACAACTTACCCATTAAGCTAATTCTTGTTGCCAACTTTTTTCTTCACATTTCTAAATGTTCTATTTTTTTTTATTTTGACTTCACTACAGACTGTAATTATCCAAAAATACATCCATCTTTTAAAATAAATGGATTAACGTAATTTGCGGCTTAGGTGTGTGTGTTTTTCCTATTTGGCTACAGCTCTCCATATTTCTGCATATACAAGAAAAAGTTTAATGTTTTCCTAAGAAAACTACTTCCACTAATTGGCCAGTTTATTCCTACACATCGAGTCTTCCTACTTCTTAGTGCTACTTAACAGCTGCTTTTAAAACCAGTTACTTTAGGTCCTGCTCTTAGTAATAGCAAGAGCGATAAAGGAGAAGCATGAAAGATGAATAAATGTGTGATTGACTAACAGTTAAAAGTGTACAGTTCACTTTTGCACCACACTGTAATAAATGTCAGAAAAATATGAGTCCATTGTTTGTTTAATAAATACTGTAAGCTGTACACAAAAACACAGCTAATTGTATACACTTGCATTGATCCACAGCTGAATTGTGATTAATTGGCAAATTAAGCCCAGATTATTTCACTGTGGCTTAAGGTTTAAAATGTGAGGAAGATACAGGACCTTTTTCTACTAAGTGCTATTTGAACATCATTCACAGGCCAAACAAAATTGTCAACTTATAATTAGCTAGAAGGTGATTCTAATCTGACATTTAATTAATTCACCCGTTTTGTGATGTTAGCTGGTATTGATAATTTCATATGCCTTATGCAGCCCTACACCTACAGCCCGTGGACCACATGTTCCCTCCCTCTGGTTTAGAGTATATATTCTATAATCTTTTGATTGATTATATAATCATCTAGCATTAAATTTATTAAATGAGCATTTGTAGTGCAGATAAGTGCCAATCTTATTTGTTCCATTTGAATCTACTTTTCTTACTGCCTAAAGCATTTATTTTTGTCACAGAAGTTATTGTGAATGTATGTGGCCAATGCCAACCAATACTATTGCATGTATGTTTTAATCTGGGCTATAACTGATTTATCTTTTCATATTTACTTTGAAAATAAACATTGAGTTTTGATTGACTGCCTTGGAAAATCTTAGAATGCACATTTTTTACATGGAACTGTATGTACATAAGATTTAGCATCTTTAGCTTATTGGTTTCATCATTTAGAAAATTACTTCAGATACAAAAATTAGCAAAGAAAAAAGGGGATCTATGTTTAATTTACTAAATGTCAAGCTAGTGCTTAATTATTTTAGTTTTTCTTGAATAAGAGAGAGCCTTTGATAGCATTGACTACATCTTCTTGTGAGAAACAGACTTTCTTATGGCCCAAACCAGTAGTTTAAATATTGTGAATATGTAATTTGAGCTAAATAAGTAAGTTGACTGAAAAGAGTATTTTAATCTGGTTTTCTTATGGGATTTCTTAAATATAAAGGAACAATTAAATCATAGGTAAATATTTTAAATCTTTTATTATAGGTTGGATGCATCATACTGTGGATCTCCTAGGAGATAAAGCCACAAAGGAAAGCTATGCTATTCAATATCTCCAAAAGTCATTGGAAGCAGATCCTAATTCTGGCCAGTCCTGGTATTTCCTTGGAAGGTGATTCTAATCAAACACTTAAAATCTGTGTTTATCAATTAAATATTTAAACTCCTATCCTGAGTTCTAATATTTTCTCTATATGTTATTTAACAGAACAGAGAGTTTCACATTCTACCTGATAACTACCAGTGATTATTGGAACCTTCCTATGTTTAATTTTGATCAATCACACACACAACACACACACTTTGGATAACCTAGAATGGATGTATTCGAATAATAGCCCACTGCTATTTGATACCAACTCATAGCTACCCTGTATAGGGTTTCTGAGGCCGCAAAACTATAGTAGCAGAATGCCTCATCTTTCTCCAGTGGAGCTGGTTGGTGGGTTTGAACCACTGGCCTTGTGGTTAACAGTCCAACACTTAACCCAGCAGTGTCATTTAACCATGAGACCATGTATATATTTTTCTTTCCTTTATTAGGAAGGAGTAAAACATGTAGTGAACATTAATTCCTGTATGTCTATTGTATTGGCTCTTCTCCATGCTTTGAATGCTTGTTACAAATGAGGGTAAGTTAAAAGTATGCTACTAGGATTCCAGTTCATACGTGCATGGTATATTCCAAACAAAAAGTATCTCTCCCATTAGTGGCTGGCTGTAGACAAGTTCTCTCGGTAATACTCTTAGTTTCATTAAACGCACTGCCATCAAGGCAGTTCCATAGTGACCCTATATAAGGGTTCTGAGATTGAACATCTTTGTGAGAGCAAGCAGCCTCATCTTTATCCTCCAGAGAGATTGCTGGTGGGTTTGAATTGCTGATCTTGGGATTAGAAGCCCAACGCCTAACCCACAGTGCCATCAGAGCTCTTTTGGAGTCTTAAAAAAAAATAGTCCAATTGAAACAGTAATTTCCAAGAGCATCTGCTGAGCCACTTAAATTTAAAGCAAAGAGGTCAGCTCAAAGAATTATGACAACTGATTTGTTTGAGATTCAAGTGGGTAATCTTAATATAGTTTCACAAATGATACAGCAAAATCCCAGGGGGTTATTAGAAGTTTTTTTTCCCCAGTAGCCTAACAGTTTATTTTTATGTTGTTTTTTTTTTTTAAACATAAGAGATCATTAATGGCAAAGCCTACATGATGCCACACACACTCACTCACGCACACAAACATGGTCACCATGGGCCATACTACCAGTGAAATGGTAGGTTAACAAAGCTTTTTCTGGTCAAGAGAGAGGAAAAAGAAAAAGTAATAGCACTTTGCATGCTTCACTCTACAAGATGAATTTTCCTAAAACGAATCTTATGAAAATGGCTGTAATCACAAGAAGTGAAGGAAGAGGGCTTGTGACATTATCTCTGAAAGATGCAACCGAGGTTGATCCAGGTTTATCCGAATATGCTACCTTTCTGAGCCTTAATCCTTCATCTCTCAGGTGTCAATTTTCTTCTGACAATTTCATCATTTCTCCCTGAAGTCTTTTACTTCCATGAGTTTCCTAGTTTCGGTATCATTGAGTGAAACACTATGCGGCTTTGGCATGAGTCCATCTTGTTTAGGTGTATTCAGTGGAGCAGTTTTGCTAGGTTCCATATCATTCAATTTACCATTTTCATTGGGCATTTCAAATACACATCTCAATTTAGAATCCATTAATTTCATCAGGCCTTGCCTCTTTCCACACAGCTTCCATATCTGAAGTGTTCGATGGAGCAAAAATTGTCTGTACCATAAACTTATGTTTACTCTTCTCATTTGGATCATAGTCAAAAGGCTTTAGCATTACTGAAACAGTTACAGATGACCCTGGGTCAATAATCCCACTGTTGGGCTTCACACAGTACTGACGAGGGGCTGTAGTCTTCACTTTAAAACACACTTTTCTATCCGATGGATTTCTCAATTTAAGATATGTAGTGACTACATCTGTGAAGGGTCCTTTAAATTTGAGGTCTGCGGGAGGGTCGGGGACCAGGATCTGCTCGTGCTTTGCCATGGCCCCGGAGTCGGACGTCATCAGAGAGGAGGGCAGGACGGGGACCTATTAAGAAGTTTTAAGATACTGAAAACTGCATTGGTGAGGAAAGGGAGAAGAATATTGCACTGAACTATTTTCCCATCAGGATAGTGCATCTGCTTATTCTTTGATGGTAGCAAGGATGGTAGCAAGTGCTATTATGTAATAACTTTATTGGGAAACCTTACCCTGTCTACCTAACAGCCCTCGTCTTACCCCATCATATTTCTTTTGGTTCTTTTAATAATAGTCAAATGAATACAGCTTGAGTGCCTCAAAGGTGCCAAAACTTCCATTTTGACATGGCATAAATTGAAGAGTACAGAATTCTCTAACCGAGGCAGGATTGTAGAGATGGAAACAGCTCCTTCAAAGTGTATAGACCTAGATAGAGGATATGTATGTCAAGAAGCATTAACTTCATTCACACATGGATATTTTTAAGAAAGATATCTATACTATTTTTAACAATACTTTTTTACTTAGCCTCATATTTACTGAATATTTAATCTGATAGGTTATATTTTTTGGTCATCATCAGATTATATTTTGGTTCTTGATCCATTTTAGCCTTTTTTTAAAAAAATAATCATTTTATTAGGGGCTCATACAACTCATCACAATCCATACATACATCATTTATGTCCAGCACATTAGTCCATATGTTGACTTCATCATTCTCACAACACCCGCTTTCCACTGGAGCCCTTGGTGTCAGCTCATTTTTCCCCTTCCCTGCCCGCTCCCCCCTCCCCCTGAACCCTTGATAATTTATAAATTATTATTATTTTATCATATCTTACCCCATCCAATGTCTCACTGACCCACTTCTCCTCTGTCCGTCCCCCAGGGAGGAGG